CTTTTCATAAAATGAGTTTTATTGTTGGTCAATCAATGAGAATATAGGAAATGTCCTCATATCTGTCTCTCAAGTTGGCCATTAATGAAGGGACTGGTCAAGGGTAAGGGGAAACAGAGGGCTTATGGGCTGTAATCAGGAGTCTTTTGGTGGAACAGTCTACACCCAGTACACTGGTCCAGGTGGAATATGGACCAGGTGAATAATTCTGGTTGGTCCTGCTACACTTGGCAGTACCCCTTGCTTCTAATCTACATCCATGAGGTCCTGTTCTTCCTCAAGTTCTACACATCCTCAGAAACTTTTGGTTGAACAGGCTCTCAAAGTCATTTTAAGCTATGAGACATAGCTAAGGTTCTGTGCCTGTTTCCTGAAAAACAATTTGAACAGTACTTAGGAATAGAAAAATTGCAATTTTATGAATCAGTTTCATATTCTTAAAAGATCCATACTGGACTATTTATAGATGAAATAATGTGTGTTGGGTTGGCTTTAGAAAAACCAGAGTAAGAGAGAAGCAGGTGGGTGGGTAGGGGGATTGGTTGGAAAAGTGTTTAGCCATGAATAGATAACAGTTGAAACTGAGGAATACATATGTAGGTTCACACGTTACAAGTGGTCACCATTCATAGAGCTGTGGGAGGTGAGGCAGGGTTCTGGCTAAGCCCAGGACTTTGCAGATAGTCTGCCTTGATGTGATTCTCAGCTCTGCTACTTATTAGCTGTGACCTTGGGCAAGTTATTTATCTTTCCATACCCTATGGGGCTAAGATCTTACAAGGTAATTGTACAGATAAGCCATATTACCAAGGAAAAATGTAGGGTGAGGAAAGAATGTTTCTTGGTGGTAACTTCACTCAGGGATGGGGAAAGGAAGAGAAGCCAGAAGAAGCCAGAGGCATAGTTGGAGGTGGGTCGGGAAACCCAAGATTAAGTCAGGAAGTATTTAGGAATCCAGAAAAAATATTTTTAAAAGTCATAGGTAGAAGAAACCAATGGATTTGGTGTTGAGGAAGTCATTGGTGCTGATAATGGCTTTGATTCAGTGGAGAAGATGGACCCAGATTCAGTGCTGAGAAAGAGATAGGGAGAGGAGAAGTGGGTGCCCTGATGGGAGGCTGGAGAAGATGGCAAGGGGGGTAACATAGGTGGAGGGAAAGAGCATCGAGCAAGGTTAAAGAGCAGAAGGAAAGGAGAGAGGAAGGTGTAGAAGACAGAAAAAAGGGTTTTGTTTCTGCCCCTTGGCTATTGTGAACGATGCTGCAGTGAACATGAAAGTGCAAGCCTCTCTTTTCACTTCTCTAGCCTGTGCACACAGAAGCGTGATTGCTGGTAGGTCCAGTTTTAATATTTTGAGGAATTTCCATACCATTTTTCTTACCATTTGCCCCAAGTTACTTTACCACCAGCAGAACAAGAGGGTTCCGATTTCTTCCTATCCTCGCCAGCACTCATTATTTACTTATTTATTTATCAGTTCTGGAGATGGAACTTAGGGCCTTGTGCACACTAGGCAAGAGCTCTAGCACTGAGCTACACTCCTAGCCCCATTTTTTTTTTATAATGACCATCTTAATAGTTGCAAAATGATATTTCATTGTAGTTTTTATGCATACTTGAACAAAGAGAATGTGGTATATACATATAAATGGAATATTGTTTAACCTTAATATGGGAGGAAATCCTCTCTTATGCTACCCTGTGGATGAACTCTGAGGACATTATACTTGGTGAAATAAGCCAGATACAGAAGGACTAACACTGAATGAGCCTACTTATAGGAGCTGTCTAAAACAGTCAACCTAATAGGAGCAATGAATACAATAATGGTGTCCAGGGTTGGCCATTGGGTTTGAGGAAACGGGGAGTTGTTATTCAACATGTATAAAGTTTCAGTGATGCTACATGAATAAGCTCTAGAGATCTGTACAACATTGTGTCTGAAGTTAATGATATGGTATTGAACACTTCAAAAATTTTCCCAAAAGGGTGAATCTTATGTTAAATGCCTTTGTACACACACACACACACACACACACACACACACACACACAAACACACAAAAGGAGCACAGGAAACTTTTGGAGGTAATGGATCTCCCTTTATTCCCTTGAATTAGTGTTGGGATCCCAAGTGTTAACATAGGTCAAAATTCATCCAATCAGACACATTTAAATAGTGCAGTTCTGTGTATCTTATGTGTACATAGCATTGCATATTATAAATAAATATGTATAGTCCTGAAGGAGAGAAGTGTTCTCAGGAGCAGGGTGGGAAGGAAATCCCTCTTCCATCCAGGCTGGGATTGTACCAAGGATGCATTATCTGCCCTGACCCTGCCCTATTCCTGTTTATAGGCTTCATTTTATACCTAAATAGCCACTTCAAAAGAAAGGAACATCAGAGGACAAATCAGTGATGATTAGTGATGATGAAATTGTGACTTTGTTTTAAAAGGTTAATTCTTTTTTTTCTTCTTCACAAAAAAGATGATTTATTGAACTTCATGTAGAAATGTAACATACTTTTCTACAATAAAACTATTCAACTTTATATTTCTTGAGGAAATATGTTATTCGCAATATACTTTCATTAAAGCATTGTTAACAACAAACTACATTAGATTCTGGGGTAGTTTCCTTTGGTGTTCTCAAAGGTTTTTCTAAAACATACCTGATATATCAATTAAAAGTGAGATTTAAAATAAATTCACAGACTTACAAAATGTGTGATTTGTGCTTAAAAAAATTTATGACTAGTTGTTAGATAGTCACCATTTTGGAAATGATTTCAACAGTCAATGAGATGTTTTATAAATATTTTGGAATATCTAAAAGCTTTATCCCATTCAACTGATAACACCCCCAAAATTAAAATGTAAGTTGTTGCAAATGATACAAATATTTTAAAATTAATAAATTATTAAAGTAAAAAAATAAGTCCTTTCACAGAAATATAAAGGACACTTATTACTAACTTCTTACAAGAAAGAAAGTTAAATTACTTCTTTTTAAAATCATAACAGTACTGAAAAAACACAGATGTGCTTGGAAAGTCTATAAATTTTCTTCCCCCACTTTAGGAAATGTTTTGAAAAGCAACAGATTCCCTTCTTTAAAAAACTACTACACCCATCACAACTACTCCAGCTGTCATTTTACTATAAAAATAGTTACAAATCAATGTTAATTTAGATAAAAGTAAAATGATCTTTATTTTTTAATTCTAGCATGATTAAAAATGGATTAAGAAGGTTAATTATTGATTTTTATAGATTTGTACTAGAATATTTAGATGAACCGATACAACCATGATTTGCTTTAGACTGTGAAGAAAATGAGAATCACTTTTTTGTTTTTCTGGAGAGAGGTTCTGAACAGTTCCTTTAGGAATCAAAGTGCCATAGCAAGCCTTCCTATATGTTTATTATTCATTAGGAGTTTTCTGGCTTGGTGCCATTATTCATCGGTATCCTGACAGTGCCCTGGGCTGGCCATCCTTTTGTACAGAGGTTGCATTTGTATGTGCTTCATTACTCCCAAGAGTGACCAGTCTGTGGCTGGCTGACTCATCCATACCCACCTTCCCTCTGTGTTCCATCTGGAAATCCCTGGGGAGAGAGAGATTTCCCCATCTCTGGTTGTAAAGTCACTATGGACTGAAGGGCTTAGGTAATGAGTCTTTCAAAACAAGCTTTGTTTGAAGCCTGCCGTTGTGGTTTGGGTATGGTTTGAGTGTGTTGCCCAAAGCTTCATGTGCTAGACGCCTGGGGCCATGTGTGGTGATGTTGAGGTGGAGGAACTTTTAAGAGGTGGAGCCTATTGTAAGGTAGTTAGATCCTGGGGGCACTTCCCTTGGAAGGGATCAATGCTACTCTATCAGGAAGACCCTTGAGAGTAGATTGTTATAAGTGGGACTGGCATTCCACTTGCTTACCTTCGGTCTTGCCATGTGATCTTTCCCTCCAAATATGCTCTGATCATGAAGTCATGTTTTGATGTATCCAGAGTTGAGCAGATGCCAGTGCCAAGATCTTGGAACTCCAGAACCTTTAGCTGAATAAACCTTCTTTACTATATGTCACCCAGTTTCAGGTGTTTCGTTATAGTAACACAGATTGGACTAGGAAAACTGTTAAAGATCTTCCTAATCTTGTCTTTTATCAAGGCTGAACTGACCCAAAGGACATTTTCCAAGAGTCCTACAAGCAGTCTGCCTATCCCTCTCCAAGCTGAGGACCTGTTAGGCTGCTAAACTTAACCTGTGCTCATTTATCGTGAGAATGCAAGAATCTCTGTTGAAGTCTTAGCAACTTTAAACACAGTAGCTGGTGGCTTCCCTAGCAAAAGTAACACAATCAGCTTATCACACCACTAGTGATGGCAGCAAGGGACCCAGAAGGAACGGAGACCCATAGCACATATGAAGACTTAAGCAATGGGGTTGAGCTTTATTGATTTGATCACATTTATGTTTTTTTCATAACAATTGGCAAACAGGCTAGTTTTAAAAAGCATCCCACTTCCATATAGCTCCATCTACATTCAGGAAGCAGTAAAAATTTATTGTACAAAGAACACTTTCCACCTTGAAAGTATCATGACAGTTCATAAATTTCTCAATAGACAATGCAAAACAATATTTACAAGATAGACCCTTTTTAAATTCAAAATTGAGATACCTGTGGTACAGTTCTAAAACTAACATCATATGTTTTCTCAGATAAGGAAGGCTGGTCATTATAAAAATACTTTATATAAATTCAACGTCAGAACTAAAACATTCAATCCTATAAAAATATCTTTTACTAATAAAAGTATCAGTTTCTAGAAAAAAGTTCTTCAACAACAGCCATAAAATGAATTTTCAGGAAAACCTACTAGGTCAGATGATCCACATAAAATGAACTCGTTAAAGTGACTTCAAGGCTCAGTCATCAACCAGTGTGTTGTTTTCAGAGATGAACCAGTGTGTTGTTTTCAGAGAGAACTTGTAGGCACAAGTATTCTACAAAAAGTGAACTCAAGTATCTACTTATTATGAAAGTCATTTATAAAGACAAACTTTACAGCCTAGAGAGGGGATTTGCAGGTTGTCTTCTCCTGGAGAAGACAAATGTTTTCTTAGGATGTGATAACACTTTTATCTTGAAATGCTTAACTTGGAAAACCTGTGATTGCATTTTGACCACTATCGGAAATCAGCTCATTCATTTCATTTTGCTTACTCTCTTTTATGGCATGGTTGGGGTGATTTCTTTGGGTCTGGGTTCTTTTGGATCTCCTAAAACACACTTTCAGCAGCAGATAACACAGCTCGGCCACATTAAGCAACATGCAAATCACAGATGCAGAAATCATAAAAATCGTAAACACAGTTTTCTCAGTTGGTCTGGAAATAAAGCAGTCAACAAGATTGGGGCAGGGCTCAATCCCACATTTCAGCACCCAGGGCAGGTGGTACCCATTGTAGAGGAAGTAAAATACATACATGAAGGCAGCTTCGAAGATGATTCGGAAGAAGATGCTGCTGGTGTATGTCCACCACAGGGACCCCTCTATTCGAACCTTCTGCTTTTTTATGTCTTCTAGGTCTTTGAATTCATTTCTCTTCTCTCCTTTCCTGAACCTGCGGGCAGTTTCATGTCTGTAGTAGGCCACATGCATGGCCACGAGCAGTGCCGGGGTGGACACAAAGATCAGCTGCAAGGCCCACAGGCGGATGTGGGAGATGGGGAAGAAGTGGTCGTAGCACACGTTCTTGCATCCTGGTTGCAGAGTGTTGCAGACAAAGTCTTCCTGTTCATCACCCCACACTTCCTGGGCAGCCACCACAAGGATCATGACTCGGAAGATGAAGATGACTGTGATCCACACCTTCCCAATGCTGGTGGAGTGTTTGTTCACACCCCCAATGAAAGTGTGCAGGGTCCCCCAATCCATTGTGTTGTTTTATTCCTAAACAGGCAAAAAGGCAAAGTGCCTGTGAATTGATAAAGTGGTATCACGGTGATGTCATAGACATAAGCAAAGTTCTTTTAGACTGTGATATTTTATAACTTCAACACCCTAATCTGTTAGTAAGAGTTTTTGTAAGAATGAAGGTCCACTCTAAACACATTCTGCTGTTTTTGACCAGAAATAACTGTTTTGAGGGAAGGTTTAGGTTTAGGACCATTTCAGTTCAATTGAATTCAGATTACCTATTATGCTGCTATTGGCCATTAATCCCGGAACAAATTCATGCCCAAGCTCCCCTTGCCCTTATTTTTGGTACTAGGGATTGAAACCAGGGGTGGGCTCTACCACTGAGCTACATTTCAGTCCTTATTTACTTTTTATTTTGAGTTAAATACCACTAAGTTGGTATTTTATAACTTTAACCCCTAATCTGTAGTAAGAGGTTTTCTAATAAGGAAGGCCCACTCTAAACATATTCTGCTGTTTTTTGATCTCACTAAATTGGTCTCACTAAATTGCTGAGGCTGGCCATGAACTTGGGATCCTCCTGCCTCAGCCTCTGGAGTTCCTGGGATTACAGGTGTGCACCACTGTGATGGGTCAAATTCCCTTTTAATCACTATGCAAATACACATTATATCAGTTTGTTTTTGCCCAAGGGCTCATAGAACTTCCACAGATTTTATTTAATTAGATGGCTTATCTAAGCAAAAAAAAAAAAGAAAAATCATTGTTAGAATGACATTATCTGGTTGATCAAGCAGAGTAATAAGGGGAAAAAGAAACCAAATACTTATTAGTTCACTCTGTACAATATTTTTATACTTACATCTAGCTTGAATCACATCATTGGCCATAATCATGTATTCTTAGGAAAGCTAATGTATCAACTACCTCCTCCAAAAGAGAATCAGAAAGTTTTACACAAATTGCTTCTTATTCTTCCATGTAACCGGGTCTCAAAAAATGAGTCTTGTTCACACAAGACTTTAGAGTCACTGTTGAAGGGGACCAACTGTCACTGTAGCCCAGAGCCTCCCTCTCTGCTAATGACTGATTAAACATCCCAAGAGAAAATAGACTCATTTGCATTTATGGAAATGTTGGTTATAATTCAAATAGCTGCATTTTTATCCTACATTGTTAAGGAAGACTAAAGAACTGGTCAGCACTCTCTTAAAACAAAACAACAAGACAAGATGAATGATGGATCCTTTGAGAAACTTTGGAAAATGGGAGACACTTGCCTCAGAAGAATGCACTCAGGCAATTTTTCATACACTTTTGAGGTACGATGGAGTCACCAATGTCCTTCTGCCCACTTGTCTTACATTTTCTTGTCCCTAAATGGGTAAGGGATGCTGGTCAACCTTCCCCTCTAAGCTCCCAGGTCCTGTGCCCTTGTCCACTAACCTGACCTCTGATAATGTTAGCTACTCCTCAAAGCAACTGGGTGAATGAAGGCAGCCTGCCCAATTCCAGAAGTGCCTGGATCCCCACACTAACCCCCCTCCCTTTGGAATGGGAGGCTAATGTGCACCTGAAGCAACATCTTTTATACCCTTAATACAGCCAGCAGTCCTGTGGTATAAAAGTCCAGCTCCCATTTCAGTGGGCTTTCTGAGAAACTCAGCTTTTGCCCTGGGTTTGGCTTTTAGACACCACAGTTTTCTCAGAAAGATACTAGGGCTAGGTGTAAGGAAGCATCCACAACCATCCCTCTGGTAACTTCTGTACTGATTCTTCCTCCTTCGGAACCAGGCCGTGGAAGTTGGGGCACATCCTATAAGGGGAGGGCAGAAGGGTGCCTTCAGGTCAGAGCTAGACATGTCCACATCTTGGTTCAAAAACTTTCTCCTTCCTTGGCCCGGGGGTCAAAATGTTTATAGGTCTAAAAGTTGTTCAAATACTATGAGTACAAAATGTTTTAAAATAGAATATGATAGGAACATTTGGATTCTTAAATCCAAACTCATATTGATTTGAAAGGCTCACACTGTGGTACAAATGGGAACCTCACAGGATGGAAGTAACTTAGCCTAGACGTTAGGGGAAGAACTGTAATTTTTTACATTAAAAAGAAAAGAGGAGTAGGATTTCATAGCTGAAGATTTGAAAAGATAGGAAATCGAGGCTTCTCAATGACCATTCTCTACAGTTAAGTGAGTCAAGTAAGAGAAGAAGGGAGGTCTCCCTTAGCCCAAGGAGTGGAGATTTTAAAGTCACAGAAAGAAAGAAAATGACTCAGACCCCCACACTCAAGTGGAGTGGCCCAAACCTATAAATATGATTCAGCAGGTTAAAATACTACATGAGGTAAACCTTATAAAAACAGAACATAAAAAAGTTAAAAAGTTAGAATAGGAAAAAGAAAAATAAGATAGTTGAACCCAAAATCCAAATTTTGGGCACAATCCTTGGATCAGATGGTATAATTTTAATAGACAATCAATAAGAGGTAGAAATTAGTTTCTTCTTCTTCTTCTTTTTTTTTAAATTAAAAAAAATTTGTGATGCTAGGGCTAGAATCCAGGGCCTTAAGCATGCTAGGCAAGTGCTCTACCACGGAGCCACACCCTTAGTCCAGAAAGTCTATTTTAATGTCCCTATTTTATAAAAAATAATTTATTCTAAAAACATTTTTTTTTTGGTACTGGTGATTGAACTCAGGGGCACTTGGCCACTGAGCCACATCCTCAGACCTATTTTGTATTTTATTTAGAGACAGGGTCTCACTGAGTTGCTTAGCACCTTGATTTTGCTGAGGCTGGTTTTGAACTCGCCATCCTCCTGCTTCAGCCTCCTGTATTCCCAGCAGCTTAGCAGGGATTATAAGTTATAGGAAGTTATAGAAAGTTATAGCCACCAGGGCTGGGGATGTGGTTCAAGTGGTAGCGCGCTCGCCTGGCATGCGTACGGCCCGGGTTCGATCCTCAGCACCACGTACAAACAAAGATGTTGTGTCCACCGCAAACTAAAAAGAAAAAAAAAAAAGAAAAAGAAAAATTCTCTTTCTCTCTCCATCTCTCTCTTAAAAAAAAAAGAAAGTTATAGCCACTGTACCTGGCTAAAAACTATTTTTTAAAACATGAAAGAGATGTCAAGCGGGAGCATACTTTCTGAGAACTTATTCTATTCTTCTATTCCCAGAAGAATTAGATATTAGAGTACTAGAAAGAGTGCAGATGGAATCTGCATTTTTCTGTGTTCTAGAAGCTTTATTTCTCTTTGCTTTTGTTGAGATACTTTTTAATTTAAGTGCATAGTTCAGTAGTGTTAAGTATATTCACATTGCTGTGAAATAGATCTCTGGAACTCTTTCATTTTCCCAAACAGGAACTCAGTATCCATGAAAATAAGTCCCCATTTTTCTCTCCCTCCAGACCTCAGCAGTCGTTATCTTCTTTCTGTGTCTATGATTTTGACTACTCTACATATATCATATAAGTGGGATCATAAGTACTTGTCTTTTTGTGGTTGGCCTTAGTCACTTAGCATAATGTCCTCAAGATTCATTCATGATATAGTGTGTGTCAGAATTTCCTTCTTTTTAAAGGCTGTATAGTATTTCTTTGTATGCATATACCACATTTTGTTTATCCACTCATCTGTCAATCAACATTTATGTTGCTTCCACCTTTAGGCTTTTATGAATAATGCTTTTATGAATAGAGTACACTCTATTCTATGATTTCTGGATCATATAAGAATTGTTTTTGATTTGGGGGGATTTTTCATAGGTGATCTAAATGTTATTATTCAGAATGAGAGAGTGACCCAATGGCTGGAGAAGGACAAATATCTTGGTTTTCAAAACAAGAGAAAAATCTATGCATGGAAACCCAAGAACCTTCTGGTATTATGGCCAGGATAAGTATTATGCCATGCTGGTATTACTAAGCCCTAAATTTCCCAATACATTACTGCAGTCACTGGGAAGACTTAGTGGCCTCCAGGAGACTCTTACCCACCCAAAGAGCCATGGCAGCAAGGAGGTGACAGACAGCCAAAGATTTAGTCAGGATGAAGGGGGCCCTGGGCTCCACTTGCTCTTCCCACCTTGCCTTGTCAATGGGCAAAGGCACTATGGCCAATGTGGGGGCAGTCTAAGGAATGGGCCTGGAAAAGAAGTGGGGGCCATGGAAGCCCTGAGACTTCCCTTGTAAAAACATATAGCCCCAAGGATAATCTTTCACAGATACCTTGTTACAGAAAATTGGAAGGCATAACAATCTTGGGGAAATTGTCACTCATTACTTTCCAAAATTACTGCACCATTGGAACCATTTGTAATGCCAATAAAAGAAATCCCTCTTTGCTTTCCTGTTTCAATAGGGCTGGAACCAATGGGAGGAGCTATTTCAATAAAAAGTAAACTATTAACTCCTTCTTTTTAAACCAGAGGTTTGTTTTAACTGGCATCTTTCTGGCTGTCTTATAAGGAACAAATAGAGGTCGCCTTATAAGCAAGTGGTTATATTTAAACTTAAAAAGGTAAAATGTATCTGGTCTTGTGGCATATCTAATTATAATAAATATATTCATGCCAAATTCTTGATACTAAAGCTCCAGTCATAAATATTTAGCTCCCAAAATAAATAACACAGTGACCTTACTTAGGAGGATACACAAAGTATTATAAAGATCAATTGCTTTTTCCTTTCACAATTCAAATCACTTAGGTCTATTGGCATTCTAACAACAATGTGATTTCTTTGTCATTTTAAAACTTTTTATTTAAGAATTTAATCACTATGGGTTTAAGAGTGTGATTTTAGTTTCACTGGAGACAGAACCCAAACTAAAGTCCTAAAAATTAGAGCATTACCTCTGAGCATACCATAAGGGGTGGCAAAGACCTTTCACTTTCTACATGGTTTTGTTCCCTTGTGGTCCTTTCAGAGTCATTCAGTGAATATTTGATAGATTTGAGGAGAGAACACCCTCTTCACATCGTCCACGTGAGCTCTAGAGAGTTGAGAAGTGTGCGTGGGTAAAAGGGAAATAAGGACCAAGCAAAACAAGCAAACCTGAGCCTATTGCTAAGGACTCCCAGGAGTCAGGCTGGAAGAAATGAGGGCAAGGTCCCTCTTCAAGGCTTCTGACTTTCTTCTCCTCCACCACCTGATTGCCCAGAAGTCAGCTGTCCGCAGTGGGGATACAAATAGAATCTTTCTTTGCTTTCTGAAGTCAGCAAGGATGTCACCTGTTGAGCAAAAAAATAGTACCTGTGAGCATGCTCTTTTGAATGAATTTTGTGGGTAGTTTTTTCCCATCATCCCCAGAATTGTTATAGGGCAAGTTCAGACGCTGTCAATTACTCAATGCTTCACACTTTAAACTCATTCAAAACAAAACAAAAGGTGCTCTTTAGTTATTCCTCTATCAAAATAATAATAATAATAATAATAATAATACCACCTAACCCCAAACCTCAAGGCCACCCCTCAAGCATTAAAAAACAGTCATGAGAAAGAGTTTGAGGAATTGGTATCCCCAAATCAGCAAGTTTTCTTTTTAAATCTCATACTCATTCTTTAATTCAGAAGAATTGATATTTTTTTTTCTCTAGAAATCTCAGGTCATTCCAGGGATAACCCAGTAGTAGATTTTTAAATGTAATGATGAAAAATTTCAGCAATTGTGTTTTTAAAGTAATGACTAATGATGACAATATATTTGGGATTCATATACTTCTTCAAAATTAACTCAATAAAATCGGAACTTTTTTTCTATGAGTTTAAATATAAAAACAGACAATCCACAGAATTCCATGTTTCTTACTTCACTGAAGAATTGGAAATTTCAAAAATAATTTCCATTAAGTTTAACTTCCTTTCTCTGGGTCTTGTTAGCAGTGTCTGCTCATTAAAGCAAATCTCTGTCCTTCCCAAACATATAAGTTCAACTAGATTTAAATGGCTCTGGGAAAAAAATGAAAAAGGCCCTCTAGGGCTCAGTTCCTTGCTCATGGGTTAAGCAAGTAAAACAGAAATCTTAAGCTCTGACAATGTACCCATTGGGAAGATTTTGCCCTCACAGACCAAAAGTTAGTTTTCCACAAATTTATGTCTTTTAACATTTTGGCTAATTTACACAAACTACTAATAATTCCTGGAAAATTCAGATTGAATCAAAAGATGCACAGTGAAGATATGTAAGTTAGAATTTTCCTTTCATCCTACTGAAATGCCAGACCATACTTATGTAATCCCTTTCCTTCTTAACTCTCTTATAATTCAGAAGAGAAAAAGAATAAGGTCACCATTACCTGTATCAGAATTTGTCTTATAAAAAAATCATCCACCAGTGGATCACGTGGACTGACCAACACCTTTCAGGTTTTATTCCTGGTAGGGATGGCAAAGGGGGACCCTTCATGATTTCCAGTAATGAGACGGACTAGAGACTTGGTGTTCTCCCTCATAACCGGCCCCACCTCCCCCATACTTGGCACAGTGCAAACAACATCACCAAAGACTCTACATGGTCCAAACAACGCACAAAGCTCTCCACAGGAGCAGTTTTGAGAAGCATCCTGCAATTCTAAGGAGATTCTTTGGGTCAGGACATTTTCTTCTAGAACACTGCTTAGATTTTGCTAGAACTGGGGCAAGAAAAGCATAAAGTCTACTTGAGGAAAAAGAACAAAGGCCCATGGTTAAACTCAACCAAGTGACAAACTGACAATGAGAGTCCATTTAGGGGACACTGAAGTTGCTGGGCTAGGTCCCCCGCCCCCTCCCCATCACTGCTGCAGGTCCACAACCTCTTCAGGCTGCCATAATTGCGTGCAGACCTCACTCACCCAAGTCTATGGTCCTGCTCCTCCGGAAGGGAGGCGAGCTCAAGTCAGCAAAACATAGGATGTCAGGGACATCTAGGGCTATTCTTTATCCGACAGGAAGGACAGACCCGTGGATGCACTTCTTAACTGAGATGTGTCACTAATTATTTTTAATTACTGTTGTCCACATGACTGTCATCTGCATTTCACAAGTTCCTCAGACTTAAAGTATGCAGCTCGCTCGTACTGGTCAGTTCTCTCAAGGATTCTCCTCCCGCTCCAAGTTGCAAGTTTGACTGAAGTTAAACACCTTCCCTGGTTCTGACTTTCTGCTTCCCACATTCAAGCGCGACACGTTGGAGATCTCCTTCCCCCAAAGCGAAGAAAACCCACAACGCACCAGATCCAAAACACAATGAAGGAAATGGAGGAAAGGGGCACGGCACCCCCCCTCTGTCCACTTACACACTCAATATGATACATTTATAAAACCTGTCGTGCAAGTCAGAGGGGCACCATGCTGCAGTCAAACCAGTCCATCCTCGTTCCTCGGAGCGCGCAGAGGAGGGGGCGGCGCTGGTGGCGCCCACCCGCCTGCAGGACGCAACCCGCCGGCGGCGCGCAGACCGGAGGATGCGGATGAGAGGCCGATAAGGATGCCTGGCAGCCCTAAGCGCGGCCCCCACCCCCGTCGGCGACTCTGTTCTGCAACTACAGGCTCACCTGGGAAAGGACGCCAGGGGCCTGGAAGGGGACAAGGACATCGACTTCACCCACTCCGGCTTCTCGGAGGAACCCCTCTGCCCGCCGATCCCCGCCCGCTCGCGCCCTGGGGGTCGCCATCCCTGTCGCCGGGCGTCGGGAGCCAGCGTACCTGTTCGCGGGGACGCGGGCTCTGGGCGCGGGACGGCGCCCTCCTCTCCCGTGGGACCGACAGGTCGGCTCCCGCGCCGCCGCTCTCCGGCGGGTGGTGACCGAGTGGGAGTCGGGCTGTCGGCCTGGCTCGGGGTGAAGGCCCCGCTCCCACCTGCAGCGCCTTTTAACCGCGCCCCACCCCGCCTCTGCCCTGACGCGGCTCCCGCGGGCTGCGGGAGGCGAAAGCGCGGTCACCCGACTCGCACCCGCCCCTGGGATCAGGGTGGGCCCCTCCTTCTGGGGCAGGGGGCGCGGGGCGGGGTTCTCTCTCGGAGGTACAGGGAGTCGGGGGCGCAGGTATGACTCTATCGCTGGGGCAGGGACGCAGGGCGCAGGGAGGGTCCCTTTGTCTGAGGTGTGTGTGTGTGTGGGGGGGGTGTCAGCAGGCAGGGCTGAACCCAATCTGGTCGGGGGGCAGGGCGGGTCTCCAACTGGAGCCAGGGCTGGATGCTTTCGAGGGGCCAGATTTTTGGGGTTCGTGGTTGCTGGGACCCCAACGAAATGGCCCCTGGGCAAGTGGGCCCACTTCCACTAGGGAGGCTTCCTATGGAGCTGCGCCTTGTGGGGAGCAGAGTTGGGGCGGGCTGTGTTCTCACCAGGACACATCCTCCTCTTTTCTGAACACTCAGGTGCTCTGACAGCCCGCTGAGTGCAGATGCACCGCCCTCACCTCGAGAGCAGCCTGGGGGCTCTTTATTCATTAATGACCCTTAGAGGAGTTGAAGCGGTTGTCTTTATTAGTTACTTCACATCCTTTGAAGCCTCCTTCAGGGATGCAGAGAGGGCATTGCGCAGGACCACACAGCATGGAGAGACCCTGTGTGTCCCTTCTTTTCACAGGCTAAGCTTGGAAAGATGTGGGCCAGCATAGGAGGGGTATAGGGGTTGGTGGGGTGGAAACGGAAGCTATTTAGGGACCTGGCTTTACAGGTTCTGACCTGTCTGTCCTACATCAGACTAGAGATGTGTAACTTGCTTATTCCACAAAATTGGTTGGTAATTAAATGTCCCCACCTTAACCATATTCTAATTGTTGGGTCATATTTGCTCATGAAACAGGATGAATGGTAGTTTCTAGTATGTTTCTTTCAGGTCGTGGAAGTTAGTTAGTCAAGGCTTTATAAAAACCCACCTTGCAAACACGCTGAGAATAAGGACCTTAGAGAATTGGTCTTGAGTCAAATAAATTTGGAATGGCTTTGAACCCAAGAGTGAAGTGACACAAATTTGACAGACACAGGCAATCCTGGTGTATTTGTTTCCTGAGCCTTAAATCTTTGCCTTCTCTTCTGCCTTCCACAGGCTGTCTGTAGTGTGTCTTCTAATTTCCTCTTCATCACTCTCCTAAACATGCATTCCAGGCAGACTCATATGTTTGTATAGGAAAATAACTTAATTTTTCTAAGCAGATTGTAAATTTCTCTTAAGCTTTTCTTTCTTTTTCTTCTTTTGCGTTCCCATAGTAATAGGTAAAGTACTTTGTGCATAGGTGCCATTCCATGAGTATTTGTGTATTGCCTGGCAGACTGAACCAGCATAGTAGATAATCCTGGAAACAGCTGGCTTTTCTTAAAGCATGCCATCAGCTGGTTCCTTGCAAAACTGTGCCTGAGCTTTTGCATTCTCAACCAGTGAAAGTTGTCCCAGTACCCAGGCAGGATAGAACAGTCATATCAAACTAGTCACAGAGAATGTATTACTATGCAGGTGTTTGAAAGGAGAACCACCTTTACACTGAAAAATTGTCTAATTCAGATTATCTGTACTAGCCCCCAAGTGATTTTTAAAATTTTGTCATTTTATTCTTAGCATTTAACCTCATCAACTCAATTTTTACTTCTCAACAGATAGTCTTATTGCAGCACAAATTAAATGTGAACTCTTGAATTTACAGACTTGATGAGATGTTCACTGGAAAACTGAAAAAATTAGCTAGTTAAATATTTTACACCAAGGATGCAAAGGCTTCTAGAGTGGTAAATGGATTGCTTTGAGTTTGTGTGCCAACATGAAAAAATATTCAGGAGATGATTACAACCCTGTAGTTTCCTTAACAGTATCATGACACTCTGAAAGCAATACATTTGAAGTCCAATTGTAATTGGTTACATAAAATTCATTTGATTCCTATCTTCTCTCTGCATCTGAATGGTGATTTCTGGGGCTATAAATTTAATGTGAAGTGAGATTCTGCAATATGAGGAGACATGAAAGGAAGATGGGTGAGAGACTCTTTTGAAAAATCTATTAATTTTCTGACTGGCCTTTTGTGCCTTTGCATGAAAAATGGAGGAGATTCTGTCCCTCCTTCTGCCTGACTACGCTGCATGTGCTGCTAGAGAGACTCACATGGGATTGCTCAAGCCTTCACCATCCTACCTAACTGGAGTGCCTGGACTCTGCCTTTTAACTGACATGGTCCTATACCCCTGGGAGAGAGGGAAATGTGTAGTCCTTTTGAATAAAAATGAACACTTGTCTATTCATTCAAGAGAAAAAAGTCCTTATTGTATGGGGTTTGTCTGCTTTTTCCTTATGATTGAATGGGGGTTATGTGTTTTGCAGGGAGGACACCAGAAGTTAATAACCATTTCTATCACATCATATCAAAGGTACAAACTATAATCAACATGTCTTGTCACTGCTGGTGTTGACCTGGATCTCTGGGTGAATTATTGATTGTGTCAGGTTTCTCCTCTGCAAGATTACTTTCCCCCCTTAGCTCTGTACTTCTTGGAAGGAAGTCACTCTACACAACCACACTGAAGGGGTGGTGTTGAGGCTACATCTCCTTGAGAGAAGAGTAGCTCCCTCATCATCTGTTATTCTTCTGTACATGAGATTAGTTCTTCTCCCAATTTGTTCATTTATTCAATCATTTCTTTATACCAGTATAGACTCATGGATAATTTATTTTGTTCTTGGGATTTAAAATGCATTACTACTTTCATTGTTTTGTTGTTCAAATTGTTTTTGCTTTGGCCATTCAGAGCTCTATCATTTGGATCCTGTTCCCTTTTGATACACATCCATCTGTATGTCTCTCTCTCTCTCTCTCTCTCTCTCTCTCTCTCTCTCTCT